GAGATCTCTGGAGTCTAATGCTATTTACTAGTGTTTTCTCCTCTTGGACGGGTCAACACCTCTTTGAAAATCTGAGGAAAGCTTCTGTACATCCTTTTGCCTGAAAGACATCCTCATGGCTCTCAGCATTTGGGGAATGATTTCAGAGATCCCATGGGCCACAGGTTGGAATCCTTTGCTCTGAGACCCTTCATTTCACCAGCCTTGAGTTACTGAGTGTTGGGTCTCAACACCCCAGTCACATTGATACTGATACACTCCTCCATTCTTATTTGTCAAGTGAACTAGTGCATGAAACACAGCATGAGCCTCAAGGTTTCTGTTTGTGTGCCCAAATCACCAGCAGGTCCATTGGCTCCTCTTAAAACACACATTGAATCCTCCACTTTTTCCATCCCTGCCGTAGTCACTCTGACCCAGCCACTGCAACCATTCAGTCTCCCATGGACTCTGACAGTATCTTCCCAGAGGCCTCCCACTTCCTCTCCCACATACCTACAAACCATCTCCATGCAGAAGCTGGACAGAGAGATTCAAACATTAGTGAATCTGTTCGTGTTACACCCCTTCCTAAAAACCTGCAAAAGTGCTCCATATCATGTGGAATAAAACCTGAACTCCCCTCCAGCCCCCTGAGGCCTTGCCTGCCTGTCTCTGACATACCTATACCATGGCCATGTCCCATCCCTCCTTATTCTCCAGTCTCGCGGTCCCTCTCAAAGCTCACTCCCACCTCACAGTCTTTGCATTTGCTCTTCCTTTTGTTTTTGTTTTGTGACAGGGTCTCACTCTGTCACTCAGGCTGGAGTACAGTAGTGCAATCCTGGCTCATTGCAGCCTCGACCTCCTGGGCTCAAGTGTTCCTCCCGCCTCAGTCTCCCGAGTAGCTAGAACTACAGGTGTGTGCCACCATGCCCAGCTAATTTTTGTATTTTTTGTAGAGATGAGGTCTAGGCACGTTTCCCAGGCTGGTCTCCAACTCCCGGGCTCAAGTGTTCCGCCCACCTCAGCCTCCCAAAGCGCTGGGATTGCAGCCTCCCTATCACTTCATTCTGCTCCCTGGCTTTTCACTGTGTGTGATCATTCAGAGCATAAGACTCCCAAATATTTTGCCTATTCAAAGATGCCTCAGATTCTAAGAGAGGACACCCAACACCGTTGCCTCAGGGCCAAGGTGGTCTTTCATCATCACACTTATCGCCGAAATTATCTTGTTTATTTTAATGTGTTTCTTATGGGTCTGCTCCAACTGGAAAACTATCATTTTCACATTCCAAAGTTATCACAGCTTTTGAGTTTACTAGCTTCTTTTCTCTCCTGTACTAGAATGTGAGCTCTAGGAAGGCAGGAATTAATGGGGTTCACAGCTCCATCCCCCTAGTTTTTCACACAGTTCTAGCATATAGATGTTTAATAAATATCTGTTGAATAAATAACTGAATGAATGAATAAATTCAAAATGTGTCCACAGATTGAAAGTCGGCTTGGGGTGAAAAGTGAGTGTGATATTGGCTGTCATTAACAGGAACCAGGATGTAGACAGGGAGGATCAAATCTACATGGATTGGATCACCCCTGGATTACTGTACTTCGTTTTCAAAGTTACACTGCCAGAAGGACCATCAGTATGGACAGAAAACTGACCAAGTTGGCACATGGGGAGAAACTTAGAAAACCAGAGGTGTTTAGCTTATAGAGACAGAAATATTCTGGGAGGAATGTTGTTGCTGTCTTGCTGTATTTCACTATCTAAAGGCCTATTGAGAGAAAAAAGAGATGGATTTGGCTTGGAGTACTAAGGGCAGAATCCAGATCAATGGGAATTAGTTTGATAGAGACATGTTTCAGTGACAGAAAGTGAATGGTCTTTTGAGGGGGTTCATAGCAAGGGAAGGGGCAGCAAAGGGAAGTGGTAAGCTCCCCATCTGAGAAACTGTCCAAATGGTCTAAGTGCACTACTTGGCAGGGACAAGCAGCAGCAGATGGCCTCAAAAATCTCTTTCAAATTTGAAATGTCTGGGTTCCTATGACATATAGTTACAGAGTCAAGAAAAATAAATTCTGGCCAAAAAGAGTTCTAGAATGCGCTTACCTATCTACCCCAATACAAGAAAATACCACCCAAACTGGTCTACAAATTAAGCAGTGGAAAGACTAGCTGAGAGGTGTCTTGTGCACCTGAAGTCATTCTAGAAACAATAAGAACAGCTCCCTGGCTTTTCAATCTGTGTGTGATCATTCAGAACATGGGACTTCCAAATACTTTGCTATTCAAAGATGCCTCAGATTCTAAGAGAAGACAACTGACATTATTGCCTCAGGGCCAAGGTGATCTTGGGTTTCATTTCTGAAGCTCTACCACTTCCTAACTGTAGGATCTTGGGCAGAGAATTAACCCCTCCAAAGCTCAGTTACGTTCTCTGTACAAAGAATTTCACTTATAAATGGAGGGGGTGCGGGTAGCACTTGAAACCAGAATGGCGCAATGTGATAGTTATTGAAACTCAGTGATAAACATATAGGTATTCACCATACTATTCTATGTGTTTGAAAATTTGCATAATAAAAAGTAAAAAGAAAGAGGTGGGAAGTTTAAAAGACTACCTACCTCATGCAATAATTGTAGAGCTTAAAGAAGTGATCACACCCGAATTGCAAGGAATTTTTACATATCTGAATTATTGCCATAAATGTTTAAATATCACATTTAATCATTCCAACGACCCTACAAAATGCATAGTATTAATCTGTGCTTGGCAGATGAGGAAACCAAAGTTCAGATAAATTAAACAGTAACAAATTCTTCAAATGGCATGGGGCTGAAACGAATCTGAAACCAGAATTATCTGACTCCACTAGCATACTGCCTTTATTTTAAGACTACCTCCCTTCCGGGAGTAGGGGACCACCAGGTTGCCTAAGCAGGGGTGAACTGGCCCAGGTCGGAAACGGAGCAGGCCAAAACTCCCGTGCTGGTCAGTAGTGGGATCGCGCCTGTGAATAGCCACTGCACTCCAGCCTGGGCAACACAGCGAGACCCTGTCTTTTAAAAATAAAAAAAGAAAAATAAAGGAAAAAAACAAAAACAACAACAACAACAACAACAAAAAGACTAGCTCATTGTGTTCTGCTTGGTTGACAATTAGGATATTGTTTATTTATCTAAGTCAGTGGTTTCCCATCTCTCTTCTCAATAGCAGAAACATTTTTTTCCAAATTCAGTCCTACTCAGAACTCCAGTAAGTAAAACTGATAAAAGCTAAACAGCTCTGGCTGAAATGGATTTTGGGGCCCAGTAACCAGCCCACTCGACTCCACAGTGACCCCTGAAGCACCCTGAGGTATGAAACCCCAGAATGAAGCAAACAACAACAGCAGCAAATCTCAACCTGAAGAAGTACATGTTAAGGGCAGCCCTATTTGTATAATACATCTTTCATTTCCCTGTCTCCCATCACATTGGATCCTCATTATCAACTCTGAGGTGGACAAGGCAGCACATATCATCCTCAATTTGCAGATGAGGAAATCAAGGCCAAATGGAGTTAAGCAGCTGGCCAAAGGTGCACCAGTTCAATTTTCAGCCAAGTGCAGACTGGAAGTTGAGTCTGTCTCCATTAACTCAGTGTGACCTGGCAAAGAGGGTGCCATCTACTGGAAATTGCTACTGACCCTTGATCCACAAAGTGGACAATCAGCTACTTGGCCACTGAGAGCTGAGCACAGCCCCATGGGTCCTCCTGCCAAGGCCCTGTCCCAGAGCAGATGGCAATGGGCAGAGAAGAAGGGCTCAGTGCCACGGAAGGGCCTGACAGCAGGATTTGGGCTGTAGAATGGCCATTCTCGTCTAAGTCATGTCGTGCTGAGTACAGGGCAGGGGGGCAGGACTCGCCAAAGTCTTCCACCTTCATCTGCAGTAAGCAAACGAGCCCACAGAGGGACAGAAGGTGGTGCAGAGCTGGGTGTCAGTTACACTTTGCTTTTCTTCTTAGCTCTTGCTCAGACATCCCTGAAACCCGAGGCAGCTGATAAATGCCTGAATGGCTCCCCGACTCCAGAGCATCTCTGAACCGAGCTGTAGCATGTGTTGGAGCAGGCAACACTTAATTATTGTTTAATCTTTCATTAGCTCTTAATTATTAACACTTAATCCATCTGTAAAATGGGGACACTAATACATGCCTCATAGAGACTCTGGGAGCATTAATTAAGCTTACAGTCCACTTTGAAGATGCAAAACGTGAAATAAGTGCTCAATGGCGGTATTAATAACCACAGCGGACTTACTTTCTTTTCCTAACGAGGTCCCTTTTTCCTCTCTACTCCTTCCTCTCCTTTCAAATATCCATCCTTAACAATATCTGCCCAACTTTGCCCTCATGGAGAAACACTTAGCTCTGTGTTTCCCAGACACAGGATTTCCTATCCAGGAAACAGGCTATTTACAGACATCTTCTCGCACTTTAATTTTCTATTATGTCCTCTGAATATGTCAGTGCCTTCCCAGTAAATATTTTGATGTGTGCTCTTGCAGCAGCTTCTGTGGAGGCTGAATGGGACAGCTGCTCCCTGTATTAGGGAATTCCAGATGTGATTTAAAACCATCAGACTCATCCATGTGAATGCCTTGCCTTTAGGTGGGAGAGGGGAAGGATCTTCTAGCTGCTTCTGGGGAAAGCCATGAGCCATATAACCCTTAGCCTTGTCTAGGGTGGTTTTTCAAGGACTTCAGATTCATATGCCTTTAGGATGAGAAACGCCTGTTTAGTGAGCTGGTGAGGAGGCAGCCTGGAATATAGCCTTAACCTGGCTCCTCAACCAGGTAACTGCAGAATCTTGGTCAGCTCTTCTACAAAGCTTGAGCAAAGGACCATGGAGAGGGGAGTATAGAGCCTTTCGGGTTTCACCAGCCTCAACGCTGGGCCAGAACATTCCCTCAGAAAGTCAGACATCATCTCCTCCCTTCTCCCTTGCTGCCAACCGAGTAGGGGAGTACTCACTCTTCTTGGAAGCTGAGCTCATGGTCTCCTATAGGTCCAGCCATGGGGACAGAGAGATGCTCCATGGAGGTCCAGGGCTGTGAGGCCTCAGGCAGGCCCTGAACCCTCTTCCAGATTTCATGGCAAGTCTTGTCTAGGCTGTCTTGGGGTGTGTCCTGGTGGATCCAGATGTATCTGGGGAATGGGCCCAGGGCGCAGGGGCGCTTGGCCACCAGGGCCGAGGACGAAAGAAGCCCATTCCCACTGGCCATCCTTCTCCTCTCTTTCTGGAAGCCCCTCTGTCCACCCAGGGCTGGAAGACATCCGCCACCACCCCTCATTCACCGGACAGGGAGAGGAGGATGGCGCTTGGCAGAAGTGGGTCAGTTCTGTCTGGCTGTCGCTCCAGCAAGGTGGTTAGGTTCAGAGGCCTTTGATTTCTGTGGCAGGGGTGGGTGGAGGACAGCTTTCTTTTGGGGAGGGGGGCTTAGTTTGATTTGTTTCTACTTGCTCTTCCCTGACTTTTGCCCCCCTCCCCGTCTCCCTCAGAAGAAAATATTTAAAAGTCAACAAAAACCAGTAGCTTAGGAACCGTGGAATGCCCCGGAGATCAGGAACCAGGCGCCTGGGCGGGCAGAATGACATCTGGGAACAGCTGGAGGGGGAGGCTGGCTCTCCCCACAGTCCCTGGCACTGCCCCCTGGCGACGCCGCCGTGACACCTTGCGGCGCCTGGGCTCAGCCCATGCTCGCCCGCTAAGCGCCGCGGAGGGCTGGGTGCGGGCCTGGGACCTCACTAGGCGCTCTGGGGGCGGGGCCCCGCAGGAGACGCTCGCCTGGGCGTTCCCAGGGAACCCCGCGCAGAGCGAGCGTCAACGGCCCGGCCCACCTCCCCTCCGCCCCCGGCCCAGTTCCCGCTTTTCTCTCGACCTGCCCCTCCTGCCCCAGTTCTCCCGCTGCTGCTCTGCCGCCCCCGGAAAGAGGAGGTGAGGCGTGTGTGGATGGGCCCACAGCCCTCCGGCCCCGGCCCACAGCAGACCCCTGTTCCGGCAGCGCCGCGCTGCGGGGTGGGCACCCGGAAGGGCCCGGCGGCTTAAGAGCGCGCTGACTAGGCAGGGCAGGCTGGGCCCGGCGGCTCCCACCAGTTTGCTTGCCAGTGGTTCCCACACCTTCGCCGTCGAGCGGCGGAATTCCTTCTGTGGGTTTCAAACGCAAACGCAACGGCTCGGTGCGCGGGGCGCTCCGGGTTCGGAGCCCAAGACCCGCCGGTCGGGTGGGTGCGGGTGGGGCCCAAAGGACCCCAGGGCTCTTCCAGGGATCAGAAGTCAAAGCCAAACGCGTCGCCGCTCCACGCAAACCTCAGCTCCTGCCTGGGATTCCCCCCGCCCCCCAGCATCCTCGACCGCCTTTTAGTCCTAACTGCCATTTTACGGAGCGCTTGCCCTGTGCCAAGCGCTGGGCTCACATTCAATCCTATTAAAACTCGTGAAATTAGTAGTACTTTTTATTATCGTTCTACATGTGAGGAAAGCAAATCTCAGTCGTGAAGGATTGTGTCCAAGGCCCGCTAAGAAGTGGGAAGCTGAGACTCAGACCCCAGCACTCTAGGCCTGATCTAGCCCTTGACCACTGAAGAGCTTCAGTAGGTGTGTGGGAGCAGGGGTAGGGGGTCCGAGGTTCAGGGAGAAGGGCTAAGTCAGCTGTCTGCTGATCAACAGGCCCCTTCCCTCATGGAAGCAGCTTCATTCAACTGGGCCCTGACAGAGTACCTCCGCTGGGGGAGGCTCTCTGGCCCCAAGAATCTGGGGGTTGTTTCTCCAGTAATACCCTTGAAGAGGAAGAGCAAGAGGGTGGAGAAGGAAGAAAGAAGAATGGACATAAATTGAGGAAGATGGCAGTCTATAAATGCAGGGCTGGGTTGAATCCTGACACTCACATTCCAGCTATGTGACCCTAGCAACTGTGAACTTCTCCCATCCTCATTCATCATTCCCCCAGTGCTGATACAACCCCTGCTCTGTGCCTGATGAGTTGCTGGGCACTGAAGAAGCCTAAGGGTGGGCAAAACTGGCATGGTCCCTGCTCCCACTAGCCTGTCTACTAGTGAGGAGAGATCGATGCAAACTAGCCAAGCAGGTAAAGCAGCAATAATTACAGAGGCAATGGGGTTCTGATGGAAAATAACTATTAGGTTGGTGCAAAAGTAATTGCGGTTTTTGTCATCACTTGCAATGGCAAAAACAATTACTTTTGCACCAACCTAATATCAAAGTGAGACATTGGGGAGAAGAGGGGAAGGCAACATTCCATGCTGGTCCAGGCTGAAGGATTCCCTTTCTGTAAAATGGTGTTAATAATTATGAAGATCACGTTTCTAGCACACAGTAGGCACTCAAGAAATATGTGTTGGATGAATTAATGGTATACTGTATGTAAAGTGCCTGGTATACAGTAAGTGCCCAATATACAACCTTGCTCTTTACAGAGGGGCTGAGTTCCTGGAAATGTTGACTCTAAATTTTGAAATCCGAGCTTCATTCCCCTTTGATTTTCATTACAAAATTGAAGACATGTTCCTTTGGGGAAAATTCCGAGGGCCTAGACTGAATAAAATTATAGTTAAGAATGTAGAAAACCTTTTAAAATAGTGTATTTAAAGGAAAAGTGATCATTTCTGATGAAATATTAATAGTTCTGAAAATGTCACTCAGTGTTTGTGCTGCTTGGCATTTGGTTGGCTAACACCTAAGCTTAGAGCAGAACGCCAACGACCCTGCACTGCCCCGGCCCCAGGATTCTGGAAAGTTAGCTAGCTCACTCACTCTTCCTGTTCCGTCTCTCCCTCAAAGGAGACCAGGCTACAGGGGCTAAATCAGAAAGGACTGCAAAAAAGTCAAATACAGCGGGGATAAGGAACAAAGATAGAGCATGTTTTTAGAGTGCACAGATGAGATTTCTAGAAAATTCTGCAAAAATCTTAAGTGATGTACTTAGAAATGGTATAAAGCTATGTCCATATGGTAGCCACTAGCCACATGAGGTTGTTTTAATTTTATTTTAATGTAAATTAAATGAAAAATTCAGCTCCTCATTTGCATGAGCCACGTATTATGTGCTCATGTGGCTACTGGCTGCTGTATTGGATAACACAGAGAGCATTTCCATTATCATGAAATACATACACTTGAGAACCAGAGTTCCTGGGTTCAGATTCTGAGTTCATGTTTTCTGGCAATGTAGCCTTAGGCAAGTGACTCTGTGCCTTGGTGTATTAGTTTGGTGGGGTGCCATAACTAAGTCCACAGACTGTGTGGCTTAAACAACAGAATTTTATTTCCTTGCCATTCTAGAGGCTGGAAGGCCAAGATCAAGGTGTTGGCATGGTTAGTTTCATTCTGAAGTTTCTCTCCTTGGCTTGTACTTGGCTGTCTTCTCCCTATGTCCTCACATGGTCTATATGTGTCCCTGTCTTAATCTCTTCTTTAAAGAACACCAGTCATATTAGATTAGGACACACCCTAATGGCTTTTTAAAAAAATCTTAATTACCTCTTTAAAGAACTGATCTCCAAATACAGTTATATTCTGAGGTATTTGGGTTTAGGATTGCAGCATACAATTCAGCCCATAACACTTGATTTCCTAATCTTTAAAATGGGATGATAATAAAGAATACTTGCTTCGTAGAATTACTATAGATGTTGTATTACTAAACAATTGCTTAACTCATGGAAAGTCCTTTGAACAATAACTGGCAGATAGTGTTATACAATAGTTTGCTTGTTAATTACACTGAAATGCATGCCTTTGGAGTTTCCGAATAGCAGCTTTTGTGTAGGGGGGAGAATTTTGTGGTACTGGGCAAGTTGTTCTGTGATGGAGAAATGGACTCACAGAATCACTTATGCCTTCCCAGGCTTTGTTCATTTTTGAGCACTCATCATGGGTTAAAATTGTGCAGGACACAGGGATTAGAGATGATGAAAAAATGTCTACCCTAGATAGAATCACCTAGTGAAGGAGGCAGGGGCAAAGCATTCCATAAATGCCTGGTACACAGCAGTGTGGTATAAACTGGTTCCATCCAACATGGAGTTATGTTCCTCTAGCACATGTATCTATGCCCAGCACTGTTTGAGGTACTGAAGATAAGTAGTGAAGAAGACGAGCTTGGTCTGTCTTTTTAGAGTTTGAAATGAAGCATTTAATGGTCATGGACACCATTTCATCTGTGAATTATTTTTAGCTTGGAAAACTTCTTGAATTCTTCCTGACTACCTACATTACCCTGGGCAGGTTGGTTTAAACTCAATGTCTCAGTTTGCTCATCTGTGAAATATAGATAAAAAAAAATACTGACTTCATGGACTTGTTTTATAACAATTGAAATAATACATGTAAAGTGCTTATAATAGTTTGGTTAATGCATGTATCCAATGAATATTGGCTATCATTATTTAGAATTCTCGGATTCTTAACTTTCCTCTGTGGAACCAGGAAGGCCTAAGGAGGAGGCAATTCTCCTTACCTCCCACCCAGTCAAAGCCTCTCCTCACCTGGCTTTCATTTCTGACACAAACATGGCTAGGCTGGAAGACTCAGAAAGGTGGAAATGACCTAAGCTCTTTTACAATCGTCCTAGCCCCTGAGCCTGCTTACTCTTGTAGGTCCTTTTAGGTTCCTCATCTAACATATTTTAAACACACCCACCTCTCACCATAAAAATAACTTTTTGGCTATAGAAGAAAATTGAAAGGATTTTTGCCATTTTGCTTTTGAAAGTTTTTGGCCATGAGTAATTTATTTAATTTGTGATGGGCTGTGATTTCTCACCAATCTTAGTGCCCACTCGAGAAATCTTGCATAGAGAGAAAACTCCAACCTACAAATTGTTACCAAATGCAATGAAATTTTTATGACTACTAAATTCAACAGTTAATGAAGTTGACATAATGTTATACTCTGCATTTAATTAAATATTTACTGATTTCCATGTGGCAGTTTTCTTTGGATTGTAGGACTAATCATCAAATGTTTAGGACTCAAACGTCTTTGTAGGTCCCTAAAACCCAGAGGGACACCCATTCCCATACGAATAATGCTCAATGGGTCAAACTGCCTAGAGGCAGGATCCATGCTAGGGATATCCCAGGCAAATATCTTGGGGGAATTGACCACAAGAGTGAAGGGAAGAGAGAGAGTTGCCATTCACAGGAATGGGCCTCCCCCTTATGTTGTCTCAGCAACAGGACAGGGCTGCAGAGCAGCCAGCCATTTCCAGGATTTTGAAAAGGTACCTTGAGTATTCTGAAAGCAAAGCTGTGACTCTGTAGCTTCTCTCTCCTGGCAACACCATCAGTGATCTCTGCCATTTCTTGAGGGTTTATCCCTTATTATTGCCTCATTCCTTGCCCACAGGAGAGGAGGCAGTTAAGAGCTCCGGTGGTGGCAGCTGACACACTTGAATTTGAATTTCTGTTCTACTGCTTGATAAAGGCAGCTTTGTATATGCTTAACTTCTCTGACATTCTTCATCAGCAAAGTGGTAAAAACAATAGGTTTGGGTAGAGAGAGGGTTTAAATACAGAAATGCACATGAAGTTCTCAACAGAGTGCCTGGCTTAGGATGAGCTCTCAATAAAAAGAAATGTATAATTATCATGATCACTAGCTATTATTATTGACAGCCCAGTAACGTAAAGATGGCAGCCTATGACATCTCCACTTAAAGTTAGGAAAAAGGAAGGTCATAGATGACAGGAGAAAAGAATATGGTGGTGGCAGTGGTGGTCCAGTAAGGTGGCAACAAAGTCAGAATTCAGCTGGCTTTCTTCCTGCTTTGGTCTTTCTGCCAGACCCCAGTAATGAGCCAAGGATTCCTGGTGAGGCCCTTTATGGAAAACCCTTCAGCTAGAAGCTCTGTATTCTGCCCTTCTTTCCCTAACTTCCATGCCAGGACATTGGTCACTAAAATGCAGTCACTTAAGACTTCTATCTTACTGCTGAGATGATCTGAGGCAGCTTTCAGATTAAAAAGTACAAACTACAGCATCAAAGAATAAAGGAAGGACTGACTCCATCTAAAGAAAGCAGAAACAGTTGCTACTTTCAAGTACCTGAATTGGTCAGACTGCATGGAGGTAATAAGGCAATAAAATTGGGTATCCTTATTTGTCAGCTAAAGCAAAAATGGAAACACGTTAGGTGGCAGAGTTTTTATTTTGTGACAGCAGAA